GTATTATACTTTATTGATTGTTTTATTTCACAGGGACATTCATGTATTTGATGGAAAATGTATTAATACTTTATTAATTATGATTTATTTATTTAACTTTGAATAAAACAGTTTTATGATTATAAAACATGTTTAAAAAGTCCAGTTTGTCAGATTAGATTATTAATCTGTCAGGAAATAAGACCAGCAGCTGGTTCTGGTCTGAACTGGTCAAAGCTGAAACTAACTGGTTCTGATGGATCCATGAAGCAGACTGAAGCTTCCAGAACATCAGCTGGAGGTCTGACTGCTTCAGACCTGAGACCCGTGGACCTCAGAGACCCGGGTGGAGCTGCTGGACTCAGGTCTTACCTTGACCCCCTGAACGAGGCCGTTCATCAGGAAGGTGTGCTGAGGGAAGGTCTCATGAAGAACCTGGAACAGAACAGGTCCAGCATCAGCTCACAGACTGTAATCTAAACCAGACCGGTCCACAGACCTGGACCTGTCACAGACCTGGACCTGTCACAGACCTGGACCTGTCACAGATCTGGACCTGTCACAGACCTGGACCTGCCTCAGATCTGGACCTGTCACAGACCTGGACCTGTCACAGACCTGGACCTGCCTCAGATCTGGACCTGTCACAGATCTGGACCTGTCACAGACCTGGACCTGCCTCAGATCTGGACCTGTCACAGATCTGGACCTGTCACAGATCTGGACCTGTCACAGATCTGGACCTGTCACAGTTTGAGCGCTGTGGGACAAACAGGTGCACTGGATCAGACAGGTAAAAGGGGGCGGAGCCTATCAGACATTAAAACCATACAGGAGGATCTTAAAGAGGAATCTGAAGTTAAAACCAGACGAGCTCAGACCAGAGGAGGCAGCATTTAATCCTGACTGTTTAACCAAGAATAAACATGGATTATTAAATACTAATGATTAATCTGTAATCATTAGTATTTATTAATCAGGACATCATCTGATGAAATTATAAACAAAGACTCAAACTGTTAAAAGTCATCTGATAAACAAGAAGCAGCCGTTCTACACATGCATGCTCACAGTGCTCTACACGTGCACGCTCACCGTGCTCTACACGTGCACGCTCACGGTGCTCTACACGTGCACGCTCACAGACACAGAGCTCTGTTTAACCCAGTTTAAAGGAGGGACCTGGTGGAACACAGGCTGTTCTGAGCTCAACAAAGCCGGACTTCATCTCTGATCCTGGTTTAACAAAACCTGAAGCTTCACTGAGACCAACTCATGTTTTATTATTAAAACTGATGTTCTGCTCTGTTCACGTCTACACAAACACACTTCTACACAAACACACTTCTACACAAACACACGTCTACACAAACACACGTCTACACAAACACACGTCTACACAAACACACGTCTACACAAACACACGTCTACACAAACACACGTCTACACAAACACACTTCTACACAAACACACTTCTACACAAACACACTTCAACACAAACACACTTCAACACAAACACACTTCTACACAAACACACTTCAACACAAACACACTTCTACACAAACACACTTCTACACAAACACACTTCTACACAAACACACTTCTACACAAACACACTTCTACACAAACACACTTCTACACAAACACAGTTTT